TAAAAAACAAGAAAATTCTGTGAAATTTTTTTCACTGAATTTTGTCATTTTTTATACATTTTACAAAACAAATCTTCTCACAAGTCGTTTCTAGGCACACACTTGCACCCTGGCCTAAAATGCAAAGTGATTATCTCAAGATAAAAATTACCTCGATTTCTTGTGAAAACAGTGTTGCACTGCACCCCCTTAACTCTAGTAGTTAGGCTACTGTGTATGGAGGTCCCGATGGATCTTGACTCCACATTTGCTTGGGTGGCAATACATGTAGTAGAGGCACTTGAACCCAACTCCACAGTTGATTTGGTAAACACTGCACTTGATGAGTGCAAGGGATCGTCTTCACTACTTGTATCTGTCATGTCTGTTGACATCAACCGCCTTAGCTCTTCACGATCCTGGAAAATAAAAATTTGTCAAACCCAAGTTTGTCAATCCAATGTTTGTTAGCACCATAACTTGACCATTGCAGTAAAAAGGATATTCAAAAGGTCCTTGCCTTATCTATTTTCTTTTGTTTTTATTTTTTTTTAAATCTGGTACTGATCACTATAAAAGTATGAAATAAAGACATATGAAATTGGTCATGTTATATACACTGTAAGTATATCTTAACGTTCATATTACCATGGTAATTTGGGTGAGAATGGAGTAAGGATGGCCATGGGGCAAGACAAGCCATCAAGCTTATGTAATAGTTTTAAAATATATGTTACCTGGTATTATCTCCCGACAGAGCACCCCCTGTACAAAAAGATGACATATCTTTGACCTTTTTCATCATTTTTATTTCTGCACAGACATAAGTATTTATGATTGAAAAACATACCCTCAGTTTCTCTCTCTTTTCAAATGCTCCGCCAACTTTAGATGACCTTGGACTATCATGCAGACTTTCTTTAGGCGTCTTAATGGTCGGGACAGCCTGGTCCCTCTTCAAGGTTGGAGTTCTTAAACAGAATGAGGTTTATTATTTACTTCGTGCAATTCAAGTTATCAATTTCTATCAAATATACATGAAGATCTATATCACAGATCCAGCCCCTATTGGTAGTAGGCTCAAAGGATAAATGGGAAGCTTGAGTATATTAATGAGCATAGACACCACTGAAGAAGAGGTAATCTGTCAGTGGTCCGTGGTCTATATGGCCGAAACATTGGCATTTTTGTTAGATTATACTTGAGCAGCCCCCTGTTAACTTCTGAATCCGCCAGTGTATATATGTCCTAACGACTTATAAGCAACGAATGTAGACATAATGCAGCAAATTATTTTTACTTTTTGACGTAAAAACGAATCCGGAAAGTGAAATATGCATTCAATTTTTATTTCCGGGTTCGATTTTCCGAGTTGATATTCTCGCTAAATAGTCGTAAAAAATCGGTCTTATACTGCTTTTAGATCGTACTTACTTTGGTTTTTCACCCATCAACAAAAGCATACTGTTTTGTGTGGTGTTTATTGAGAAATGCTCACTTTTAAAATGGGCTGAGCAGATCCTGGTCTGATCGCTTGGAGTGAAATCTTTTCTCGTACTGTCTACGAACTTTGCCCATAAGCGGGCCATCTTGGCATCTTTCGGCCACTTGAACAACGAGATCCCCTCCCGGGGCTCGTTGCTGCACCCTCCCACCACACACCTGAACGGCATGTGATATATTATCTATTCAAATCAGATCACATACAAAATTCTATACCTATATTTCAATGGCGGCATAAACAATACCCCCACTTCGATGACGTCATTGAATTTTGGAGGTCAACGAGGTCAATTGAAGTGAAACCGAAACTGCCAGCAATACAAAATGTGATATTAATGACAAAAAGCATTATTTTTTCATTTTTTTTTTATTTATACGATTTCTTTATAGTATAAGGTATTTTATTAGTCTGGATTCGCCTGGATTTAGCATAGGGTTAAATAAAGTCTTTAAAGGGGATAGAAAAGAAAGTGTGTACAAAAAGATCTGAGAAGCTAAAAATCCAGGAAAGGTCAGAGTACACCTTAAGATGAATTGTTGCCCAAGGTCAACTACATATCACTTCAATAACTTAAAACAGAGGGCGGTTGTGCAATTGACCTGGATAATCAACTTCTGCAAAGCAATTTTGGATAGCATGTGTCGTCAGTCTCCCACAATTCAATGCAATTTATGCAGGCATGTATCTCTTGTTCAGGGTCATTGAATGGATCTATTGTTTTGAGTAGAATTTCACACTAAATGCAGGGTTACAAGGGAGATGTTTCAAATATAGAGTTGTATGTAAACAGTTGCAACAGAATCGTTGAGTTTAAATGGTCATAACAAGAAGTTGAATAAGTATAAAATTGAATAGGAACTGAAATAAGGGAGTCTAAAGTAATCTCTTACACTTTCAACTCTAGATTTATGAATAATGGGAATTCTCTCACTTCTAGTCCTTTATTGAACAAAACAGCGAAATTGATTTTATATTATATTAAAAATATCGTTCTCTATTTCTATGTATTAACTAATATAAACAATAATAATAGTTACAAATGTATAGGCACCACAGACTATAAGGTGATGAAAATCAGAAATACTTTTTGATAATTTTACTTGATAGCTAATAATGTACTCGGAGTAGCAAGTCACAAAAGATTTTGCTCCTGTTGATTCATGAAAATAAGCAAAACAAAGAAAGGTTGTAGCACATAATTTGGCAGAGTACTATACAGTATAGGAATACCTAACAGTTAGGAATGTGAACTCTATTTGGAAAAATATTTTAGATTAAAAGAGATAGTTAATCAACATTTTTGGATATTTTTGGAGTGGATTTTATAAACAGTATATACATCTTGGCACATATACAGGACTAATTGGCTAACTAGCCAATATACTACAAGGTCTAAGGTACTTCACACCTCCTTGACTAGAATCCGGTGCTATAGATATTGGCTATTATTGGATTAACTATGGCAAATGTTGCCACTGTAAGCCAATTGATTGGCTATGATTCAGATGTTTCTGAACATTCATCACCTTCCCAAATAGGGTCAACTATGGAATCGCCTAACACAGCCAGGGACCGTCTCAAAATGATTTAACTCCTGTGAATGACTCAAATAACACGTTTAGTGATCAGAGCAGAGGCCTCATTATCATCTGGTCGCAAATAGTTGCGTTGCGTCTGCGATGCGATTGCGATCGCAATTCGTAACGCATGCGATGCGTGGTATTATCAATTGAGCGCAATCGCAGACGCAAAGCAATCGCAAAACAATTAAAACGTAAGTTGCGATCGCAAGTCTAGAGTGTATTTTGGCGCGAAATTTAAAAGGACACTGGCGCTAGTTTTTGACATTGATTGATTGAAATTGATAAAATCCAATAATTGATATGATTTGATTGGTTGCGCATGCATTACACTTGTGCAAGACATAAGTGCGCCAAAATGCAAATCGATTTACATTGAACAGACGGTAGTCGAAGAAACATGTCGAGGGCAGGGAATTGGACAAATGATGAACAAGAATTATTAGTATCTCTCATTGAGAAGGATGCAAATATTCTTTTGGCACCACTTAGCTGTCAAATAACAATACAGTCACAGGATAGTTGCTGGGCAAGGGTAGCTGAAAAAATAAGTTCACTTGGTGTGGAAATGAGGACTAGAAAAAACGTTATGTAAGTCACACATCACTGAAAATAAATAACTGTTAAAACCGGAAGTTGTCATGTTACTGAAACTAAGTGAAATAAAACGAACTTTTGGTCGTTGTTGTATGTGTTCTACAATGCTTCTATCTAAAATCCGTCAACATAATTTTTCAACAGACAATGAAACGATAACAGCTAATGAGTTTTCTATTTGGTGGTGTATATTTTACATTTTATACACATGCAAGAAAATTGTAAGTTGTGGGTTCCATATCGATATATGTTTAAATATGTCTCCAGTGTATTGCATTTATTTTCCTTTGGAACAAAATATGAAACGCGTCTTTTGCATTGTGATCAAAGCAAATCATGTTTGAATCAGGGTCGGGATGAAAATGTGAAAATCTACAATTTTGAGACGAACTCTCATTTCAAATTGAAAATCTAACTCTTTCCGACGAGTCAACTTCAATGCGATGGGTGATGCTTGAACAACAGATACAGAGTACATGTCTATGTAAAAAAGAAAATCGTGCTTTTTCATTTTTAAACTATTAAATTTAACAACTTAGTAATTTGCAGTGATATGCATTTATTCTATTATGTAGAATTAACAACGTTTCTATTCATATTCAAACTCGATCAAATAAAATGTCTTTAATATTAAATCTATATCTGGGAACATGGTAGAGATCATTCAGAAAAACGAGCACCTCACATACTGTACACAGATACCACAGGAGTTCAACCATTGTTTTAACAAATCCATGTTCCAATTCAGGAAGAAATGGAGCGACTTGCAAAGTCGGACAAAAGTGGCAGTTAGTGAATCGAGTGGGTTAAACCTATCTCGAAATACTCTTCGGCCAATACGATTGTGGTGATCCAGAATGAAATGAAACATCTTGGTGTTCTTGTACTTTTGCAGACGATGTAGGTGAGGTAAATAAACACTAGGAATACTCAGAACATTAGTGTAGTAGTGGCAAGATTAATTCACCAAACAAGCTTTATTAGCTAGATAAATATTTAATTGGCGAAAATCCTTTGCTCCAAAGAGCACGAAATATTGCAGGCACCAATCTAAGACGTATACAGTATGTGATGCATTCTCAATATTTAGAAACAAACGTGATTTTTAAGGATTTACAGGCTCAATTAAATGTATATTTTAATCATATTAAATAAATAAAATTGAACAATTTCTTCGATACTATTGATTAATACTTAACAGGTAGTGAAATGACCGATATAAAACACCACAAAATATCCATTAACATAGATAAAATAACGCTCAAAGATGAACTAGATTTGCGATTTGATTTGCGACAGGGTAAACGTCGTCGCAACTTTTTGTTTAGTTGCGATCAGAAAATCGATAACTTTGCGTCAGACTTGCGATGCGATGGAATGATAATAACATTTTTGGGAAATAGTTGCGTTGCGATGTCTTGCGATGCGATTCGCATGCGATTTTGCGTTGCGACCAGATGATAATGAGGCCTCTGGACTACAACCCAAGAAACATCACCAAAAACCATTCGAAAAATCAGACTTATGAATCGATAAACTGCGGTTACCTGTACTTCTCCAAAAACGCCAAAAACTCTTCCATCTCAAACTAGAATTAAAACTAGAGGCAGACCAAGAAAGACTGTATCATCAGTGAAAATACCAATCGATGACAACAAACTTGAACGCCTAATGAACACTGTCTCAAAGTTAACTGACAAAATTGATGATCTTTCGAATACCACTGTGGACTTGAAGGACTCTATGGAAATAGCGAAAATTAACCTTAATGCTATGCAAACGACCAATGCTGATTTGGTGACTCAATTGGCAGCAAAAACATCACAATGCAAAGACCTAAATGATGAATGTATACATCTTCGCAAGCATCTCACCTCCTTGAAATCACAGAATGGTAATGAATCCGATAAGACACTGGTGATAGGAAGCTCAATAATAAGAGACTTTGATGAGAACAAGCTCAACAATACGGAGGTGAAATGTATAAGCGGGGGTAAAATTAATTTATCGAAATTGAATAAACCTGGACCCAAACCCTACAAGCGTCCCTCCTTAGGTACATAGTCCCTCCTTAGGTGTCCAAACAAAGCAAAGTATCTTAGGAGGGTGTAGAATGTTCCAATACATATTCAACTTGTTGCTGATATCATCCTGGACCATACCAGATCTCCTACACGGAGCGTTGTCATGGTGGAATATGTATGATTCTATGACTTTGTCTGTTACTACCAAAACAGACCAGTAGTTACTACTGAAACATTCATTTGTAGAATTAAACCTTGCAGTGAAGTTTTGAATATTTAGTCAAAAGAAAACTAATAAAATATTCCTTGCCAGATTTAACATTTTCATGATTTATGAGGATATGCATAACCCTATTGCTGTGCAAATATTCTTGAAAAGTAAATAATAAACGTTTAGCATTGTTATCAAAATTTCTGGATCTACCATTCTATTATTTAGACCACTTTACATCAATTACTTGAACGCAGGTTTTGTCTTCTTGTGTGCCAGTTATTTTCCATATGATCAATTGCCTAAATACGTTCATTTAGTTCATCATCCATTCTTGGGAGATTAACATAGATATGTTCCGGAATTGCATCTAACTTTACATAATCATCGTGGTTTCCTTCAATGATGTTATTCACTGTTTGAACAATTGTTTTGAACTCAGGTCTCTTGTTTGGACTTTCATTCCAACACTTCAACATCAACTCGTATCTGAAACAAATTACTTAACGTATTATACCCCAGGTGTTGAGGATGAATTGTTTTTACATTTATCATATCTACAGCTGTACTCGTACACTTTCGATTCTATTTGCAGAACTAATATTTAAACATACAATGTTAAAGAAAATGTCCTATATCCATAAAGGTACATGTAACTTACATTTCTTGATCACATTGTTTAGGTTTTTCCATCCTGTATCCTCGACCTATGTCTTTCATGATCTGACGGGCTCCCATACCAGGGTATGGTGTGGCACCTGTATAACACGTTCACAAAAAAAGTGTATAATGCTCCATAAATGATTAACACCTTTTCGTTAAACACAAATGGCTTTATTTTAATTTCCTTAATAAAAACGAATTGCTGTTAAATATGTATATGGTGCCATTTTAATTCTAAATCATATAATTACCCAGACTTATGATCTCCCATAACAGAACACCATAACTCCATACGTCACTCTTGCATGTACTCAAGTTGTACAGAAGGGACTCGATGGCCATCCAACGAATAGGTAATTTACCCTGGAAAGACGATATTGATCCTTAAAAAGTTTTTTTTCACAATATATGTCATACTATTACAGTCATTCTGTATGAACAAAATATAATTATACTATCATGTATACATTGAGATGGCAGGTTGAATTATAACAGATTTGAGTAAAGCCTTTGATTTTGTATAAAATAATTAGCAGAGACTACGTCATTCATAGGAGTGACATCAAATTCATGAATCATACCTGTGATCCTCTCTCATAGGTCCCATCCTCTCCAACATCTCTAGCGAACCCAAAGTCAGAAACCTTTGCCCTTAATTCTTTATCAACTAAGATATTCCTGGCTGCCAAATCTCTATGAATGATCTAGAAAACATATGAGCGTTGATGCATATTCAGAAAACAACTAGCTCTGGAGAAATAAATATTGTGTTTGGTAAGTGAAGGTAGACCGTTTGTTTTAAATCTAAAGTCGTTATCAAAAGATAACTTTCCAACATTTTACCTAATTTTAGTATGCCAAATGAAAAATAATTGCAATTCATTAAACAACGTTTTACAGATTTCTAAAGCAGAATATAAGTATTTAGTTTAAGTTGCCATGTTAAATCAGTTTTGTGAACGCATTACCTTGTATGATTCCAAACAAGACATCCCATTTGCTACATCCCTCGCAAATAGTAACAGCTGCTTTGACGTGAGTGACTTTGTTCCCGAGTGGAGATTGTCATACACTTTGTTTCCATCGGCTCTGTTCTTTTTAAGAAAATCTTTCAGGGAACCATTTTCCATGTATTCAACAACAATATAGTATGGGTCTGGAATAATTATGATATAATATTTATTGTGATGGTTTTGGAGTGAATTATATTGGCACACATTCTAAGATGAACATACAGTGGATCTCAAAGAAGCTACATCATTTCGATGGTAACATGTTGTTTTAAGCATTTGCTTACCTTTTTTGATGCAGCATGCAATCAGACTTACAACGTTAGGATGACCGAGCAGTTTCATAACCTCCAGTTCTTTTAAAAAGTCACCTTTGTTTTTCTCAGTTGGATCTACAGAATGATAAACCGCACGTTTATATCTTATCAAACTAGATATATACTAAACTATGGAATAGATAAACAATTTTGATACACGTATAGAATATTTATATAGCATTTAACATGAAATTATACAAAAACAGTAGTATTATACAATATCACTGTGATTTTAAACTGAACAGATTGTGACCATTGTCGAAAATAACCATACAAATGAATTAGGTACGAAACCTCATCAATTCTGTCCGTATGTTATCCAACGTTCATTAATTAAACAGTTCAAATTCATATGTTTATTTTGTGATTGTCTGGATCTTACCTTTGAGAGTCTTGATGGCTACATCTACAACTTTATGACAGAGCGGTATGTTTTTTCCTTGACCTTTCCACACCACACCAAACTCTCCCTTTCCGATTTCCTTTTCAAGTTTCAGCTGACTTGAGGATATCTCAAAGTTTTCTCTTGGTACATTGTCGTATGTCTATCGGGAATAAAGGCTTAATGCATGTAATGTGACTGTTTATTCTAATTATCTAAGTATAGATGCCAAAGGGTTGTGGTTACTTTAAAATAGACTACCATATTTTAGAATTCATTCCATAATTTCACACGCCTTCCCTCCATACTTAATAACTGAGATATATAGTTTCAACAAATTGTCTTATGCACCATTCAAAAGTTTGCGTGAGACCCCCACACGGGGAGGGTAAGGAATATGATACACAATATTGCCCCAGGGGTAGGATTTTTGTCGAGGATTGTCGTCCCGGGGTTGGGAAATTTGATTTACATGTGCCCGGGAATAGGGATTTTTGACTGAATCTGTTTCGTCCAGTATACACTTTAGGATCCTTAGAATTTGCAAATAATGGGTATATTCAGTGAACTAAATATCGCTCATATCGGGAACAGAAGAAAATAACTCAACTACATTCAAGGGTGGAATCACCGAGAATAACCGCTGGAGAGAGGAACTCTAGAATGCTGAGCAGTGTTTTAATTATTGGTTTGTCAAGCTTCTTTTCGCCCTCCCTTCGGAAAAAATGCACTTCCGCGTTCTACTTAAATAGTCCTACTTATAATTGATTTAATATAGATGATTAATTTAATTTAAAATTAATTTTGGAAAACTTTTACGTTGGAACAAATATAAATTTAATTGATTTGATATAGATGAATAAAACGGAGGGGGTAACCTATTAAAGTAAAAATAAACAAAATACTGCACGTGTATCCCTGAACACTCATGAGCATCAGTCTTCTAACAAGGAACTCTGATGTTTAAAAATAGATTTTGGTGGAATGGTGGAAGGACCCTGGGGTCGTGAATATTTGACCAGATTTATTGCTCCAGGGGTAGGGAAATTGATACATTTATTTGGCTACGGCGTAAGGAATTAGACAGGCCCATTTTTTTTGTAAAATTCCCCCACTAATGCCCGCGTGGGGGGGGTCTCACGCAAACTTTTGAATTGTGCATTAAGATGAAGTCGCAAGGGTATTTGCATTGAACACAGCATTGTATCCATTAGATTAAATTAGTAGTATCTAGAAATTGACAAACCCTTTCCTCACGTGGATCACATTTCCCGATGGTTTCATAAGCTAAGTTATCTGAACCATCAACAAAGCTTTTAATAGCCGAGGGACCACTTGGTTCAATTTCCATCAGTTGTTGGTCACGGTTTTCGTCGTTTTCTAAACAATATCAAATAAACTAAATATCAATAGACATTTTGTATTACAATAACATAAGCAAAGCAGTCGACACACATTCTATAAAAATATTAATGCTTATTTCTATTGAATACATTTACTGGTATATTTACCTGCTGTTCTATTAGGTCGTCTTCTCCGCAGTAGGAAACCAACGATTAACACAACTAATACAACTATAGATAGTGCCCCGAATACACCTCCAACTATTACACCTATATTTGAGGACGCAGCTGGTTCCGACACTTAAACAGCAATTGGAAATATTTCATAAGAGAGGCATCAAGATTTTATCTCTGTTGTTTTAAGAATTATTATCTTTAATACATTTGGTTCCAACTATGAGAAGTGAAGGGATGTACAGAAAGCGTTAATTTCAGAATAAAAGTAGAAAGTTGTTCACTCTGTTTTTAATGTCTTTTAGTAATCCAATTGAGATCAAATTAGAATACTTTCGGTAAAATGCAAATGGTTTTCATGACGTCATGACTATAAAATAAACATAAACTAAGTCGTTAATTTATTATCAAATAAATATAATGTGCAACACATTGTCTTTGATTAGATAATTTGCTATCAACAAAATATGATCGAAATTCATGAATTGTCGAGAATAATTAGCAAATTAATAATGTAGCGTTATAGAGGTCGTCGATGTATAACTTTTCCAACTTCAACAACATCTTGCCCTTTGAGTACATACCTTTTACATCTAGTTCGAATATTTTTGTTGTACTATTAACAATGTTTGATGCAATGCAGATATATTTTCCAAAGTCTGTTGCTTTCACTTCCTGAATGCTCATCACAGCACGATGCATGTATCTGTTAGTTGTGTTAACGGAAAGTAAGGTGTGATTCGGCAAGGGAGTATATGTTTCATTATCTGTGTCTAGCTTAAACCACTTGAATTCCGGCACTGGGAATCCAATGGCATTATAAACAATACGCATAGATCCTCCGACGCTTGCAAATATTTCGGTTTGAGAATGATGCATATCATCATCGGCTGGTGAACCTGAAATACAAGGAGGCTTGTTGTTTAATCGTCACTTCCTTAGATCTCTAATAGTCTTCAAAAGTGCCAGTATGTAACGTAATGTGTGAGAATAGTTGTTCATGAATCTATTGAAACCATCACACGATTAGAAAGACGATAAAGAATATTTGAGACTTTTAAGTCGGCTGATGGAACATCTTTTTGCCGACTTGGCCGAAAGGTCTAGAGCGCAAGAATGAACTCGGTAAGGCGCCGACTTCATAACAATAAAATGGTGAGTTCGAAATGCGTGAGCTCCTTGTTTATTTATTAGTACATGTATTTCTCAAATCGACTTCCATTGTTGGCAAATCAAATATTCCATTTTATTATTTATTTAATTCCAGATCTATTCTACTCACAATGAACAGTTATGAATCTTTTATACACACTGTTTCCTCGTCCATTGTTCGCAACGCAACTATACGTTCCCATGTGTCTACATGAAGCATTTGGGACGGTATAAACCAGTGTTAATATTCCAGGGCCCTCTTTTAATTTTGTCGATTCCAAATAAATTTCAATTTTAGATGCTGGTCTACTGTCAGCATGGCAAGTAAGAAAAAAATTAGACTTTTCAAGAACAGGCCATAGGTCTGTGGATGATCTAAAGTAAGTCACTTCTGAGGGATCTAAAAACAACAAATCATACCTTTTTAAGTAACATATCGCAAACAATGATAATATAAAACGCACATTTTGTATTAAACATTCATAATATTATATTGACAAATTCAAAATTCAGTATACCATGAATCAGTTATGTACTTACACTCTACAACCAAAGAGAACTCGACTGTATTATATCCGACATCGTTTGATGCTTCGCATTTGTAACTTCCATGATGGTCGCGATTTAATTTCCCAAGTTTGAGAGTGTCACTAGAACTTTGTTTTGTTGTGCTGTTGAAGATCCATACGTATCTACTCGTTGGGTTGGCAGATGATTCACACTTTATATTATGCAGAGTATCGTTCTCTACTTTTGTGATGGTGCCACTGGTGGGAGATAATCTTACATTGTAAGGTTTATCTGAAAACATTTTGACAAAATATTTGTTTTGTTCAATACTCCACACTAGTCGTCCGAAAGCACGAAAGAGGAATTGCGCGCGACTGAAGGCCGCTTTCTCTAAATCCATAAAAAAAATCTTCAGCGAATTTTAAGGGGTAATGGTGCAGGGATATTCTAAGTAAAATGCACTTTGAAATAGTTTTAAACTCAATTTGCAACTTGAATTTAAACCAGGAGGACACTTACAATAGGCATTCACATATATATTCTTTGTATCTTCTCCAGGTTGTGAATCACCAACACTTGGCTGCATGTTGTTTCTTGCTTTACAGGTGTAGTAACCTCCCTCGGTTCTGTTATGTATCGTTAATGTTTTAGAATCCGAATTCGCTGGTCCCCCAGCCCAGACATACGTTATATCATCAGGATTAGCCTGAGCTGCACACGTTATCTTTAAAGGGGGTTCATTTTCATAGTAAATATAGCTATCCTGTAAGTTCTTTATTGTAGGAGGATCTAAATAATAGCAAAGGGCATTCAAATTGAGGTCACTTTTTAAACATACTTAATATGGATGATTCAAACTGAATTTCTGATACAGAAAGTACAGAAAATGTAAGTACTTACATAAGACATCAAACTGCACTGCATTCGTTGACAACTTCGGATCCCCAATATTATTTGAAGCCGTACATGTGTAAGTTCCGGGATCTGTTGACTCTTGTACGTTTGTATTGTCCCATGTGTTAGCAGCCGTAGCTTCCATTTGAACATTATCTCTTTTCCATGTATAATTGCGAGGAGATGGGTTTCCGTCAGATGTACATGTGAATGTTGCATTTTTTCCTTTGATGACATTGTATGGAGAGTGATTCGGACCTATAGTGACAGTTTGCGGTGCATCTGGAACAGTAATTATATATTTAATTATTAATACCTTATTTTAAAAGGGAAGGGTAACATTGAAAAATCACAAAATACGCATTTAACTATAAAACTGATCAACCAATGTTTAGTTATGCATCTAGGTATTCAAAATGAATGGGGGATAGAGGATGGTAAAACAATAGTAGGAAGTTGGAATTAAAAGATGTTTACATTTTAAAACGCTCGATTATTTAAGCCTATAATACGTTCTAAATTTACGCACATAATTTTGCTTTAAATTAGACAATCTTCAGAAAAAATCAATTTTAAATTAGGATACGTTTCTTATAACGTTTCTCATAAAAATGCGGCTATGTAAAAAATGTATCGCGTCGAATTTACATGACCGGCTAGATTACCATCTTGCTTCATCTAGCTTCGGACCTATCCCCAGAACGTGGAACCGACGATGCTAGATTACTTGAAATTCCAACATTGAAGAATAAATTGTTTACTTACATTTAACGTTTAATATTTTGCGAACAGTCTGATATCCTGTAAGGGCCTTATTTGTCACCCTGCATTCATACGTATTCCCATTGTGATCTGGTGTGAGTTGCAGAGTGAGTACATTTTTACTAGCCTGACTTGGAGCTGTAGCCCAGTTGCTATTCGGCTGAAACTCTACCTTACTTGTATCTGAAACAACCGAAGGAATTATTGGAAGAAAACGGGAACTAAGACAGATTAATATGTTGACACTCTGTTTGGAAACAATTAACAAAGGGGCATTAACTTACCTGTTTCTACATACTGTAAAAATGAATGCTTTTAGAGAAACATTATCTTTTCATACCTGTAATTTCTTTGTTTCCCTGGTACCACTTTACAGTTGGTGCCTCCACTCCACCAGTGCTGGAACATGTTAGCTGTAGAGTGTCACCTGATCTGATATTAGAGAGGTCTTTGCTACTTGATATGGTAGGTGGACTGTCTGGCGCAACTGGAAAGAAAAGAATACAAAATGGGCTTATAACCTTACGCATGTTATTTAGCTAATTTCAGAGTCGAACACATTTACATGGGCCACAACAGACAACTCTTTATCGAATTTCCCATGTCCTTATCCAAGCAGTAGATAGTATTAAGCAAATATTTCATTCTGTGGAGGGCAATACCTGTTCATCTATCAATTGCATTATGTATTGTCCATCATCATGATAAACCATGACATCTCAAATCTTTTCAGCCCTGAGATGCCATGATATAATGAGCTTGATTTGGCGATCCAGGAGAGCCCAAAATTGAGGATTTTTGAGATCTTTCATCCCAGCTCATATTTCATCTAATTGGGGTCATAAAACTTGTGTAACTGTGCCTGTTGTAATATCTGCTGTTAAATACAATGCCTATTATGTAATGTATTGTAATTGTACATTAAGGTAAATGATTCCATGATAACTATCACACTTATTGACAGTTATGACTCTTCCCATCTGATGTGCTCAGATCACAGAATATGCCTCATAATATCAGAGCATGTTTCAGGTGAAACAGAAAGACGCTATGAGTATCAGAATGATTGCCCATAGCCCGTACCTACTTCAAATATCATTAAAACATCGACAGCCGGTAATTGAAGATTTGCCACTGTTTGCGCGTCACCTAGTTCAAAAACATTTTTTTTAAATCAACGAAATGCGATTCATCTTATCTGTTGTATAAGGTTTATAAATCATATTCAAAGCATAATCAGAATAAAAGAAAATGCAGTCACCGACCTTAGAGATCAATCTATAGTGAAATTGACAGGCAATCATCAGTATTTGAATAATACTGAGTAAATTATCCCTACCGATCAACGGGCATGAAAACCAGAAGTGTATTTATCATTAAAATAAATTGTCCGTTTGGTGTCTTCTTTGACTACTATACTATGGCTAGTAACGTTTATGGCCATGGATATTATTTTAAATAGAATTTAACACCCATGGGCACCCACATGTATCTTCACATTCTAAATGAGAATAGAGGAGAGAATGAAAGTAGGTCAAAGTATGGCTGCTAATCCAACAGGTTATAATTCAGATTTAGACGGTTTGATGACAACACTAATTGTAGTGTCTACAGTGATTCAATGAAAGGGGGTGTATTGCATAATAATGTTATATTTTATGCACACATGTTAAGTCCAGCAATATCTTAGTTCAATCGAAGATACCAACAAATAAATTTAAAATGTTATGCCGATTTTTTGACCACCTAGTTGAAAAAAATCCTGGCGAGATCACTGATTCTATATCGGTTCCTTCGATATACGTTAATGTTATACCTGTTATATGTAAATCATATTTTTGATTTGATATGTTATCAAATGCTTGAACTTTGCAATATTCAAATTGTATTCATAGCAATAATTATAGTTCGATAGATTTGTCATTTAGACATTCCTTATACATATATGACATTACTTGATATTAAGAAAAAAACATTTAAGAACCCTGAAACTAGTTTGATTTTGGATTATTTGTATTTTGGTGTTATGGTTCATCACCATCTGCAGCTCAGAAGGAATCGTGAATCAAATGTAAATCGATTCGTTATATTTTGAGAACTAGCCATGGTTTTCGAAGAGAATATATTTGAGAAATTTTGTAAATCTTGTTGGAGAATATAGATACCTGGTCGTCTAACGTAGAAATCTCTACTTCTTAGATTCCCAGACCTTGCCTCTTCACAATAAAACTTGGTATAATCAATATCTACCACTGCAGTAATCCTTAGATTATATGTTCCAGTTATATTGTAGTTTGGATGTTGGGGAGGAGTGTATATAATTCTTGTACTATTTCTACTGATGAGTAACCACTGTGTGATATCCGTCCTCCAAATATACCACTGTACAGAATGATGAGTCGGAAGATTGTCAAGCTCGCAATAAAGTGTTACATCCTCGCCTATATTAGCTTCTATGTCTTCTCCTTCATGCAACCATTTTTGTTGCAGTGTCAAACGAACTATTGTCAATGCAAGTATAACTTTTGTAAAACACATCTTTACATTTTTAGATCGATAAAGTTTTGCTTTTAAGTGTTTACTTACTTTATCTCGGTGTACTCCTAAAAACTTGCAATGTATAGAAGTATATAAACAGACACAATATTGAATTAATCGTGTGTACTTACCCAATTGACAGGTGACACTGTGGTTTGTGTGAACATTAAATGTAGTATGCTTCATTTCGTAACCTTGCCTAAGTCGATATCTTATTTTTCAATTTTATTTTCACATTAATTGAACGTCAAATAGATGTAAAATAATACTGACGTGTTCACTCAGAGATATAGCAAAAAGATAAACACTGCATATTGCTCATGAAAACTTACAATATCCCTCTTAAAATATATATATATACATATGTTTTATTCGGTTCAACGTTGTCTTTTTACTATTTCGACCCTCTTTGAGGAGAAGCGTAAAACACAACATTGAAATGGTACACACCTGCTATGAATACAGACACAGGATTGCTTCTAAATGAGAAATTTACTTCTTCACAATAAAAGTCTTTAACGTTATTATAATGAATGCTCTTTATAACAAGGTTATACATTCCAGTGATTTCATATGTATTTTTGTATGCTGGCCCATACGGATTTATAGCTCCATTGTTGCTGATCGTTTTTGGTATCCCTGTAGGATTATACCATGCAACCTGATGTCTTTCATCCAAGTTGTCCATCTCACAGTAGAGTGTTACTCTGTCTCCCACATTTGCAACAGTGTCCTCTGGTTGACGTATCCAGGTTGGAACAGAGAGAGCCTTACCGAGAAGTACTGGTAACACTATTAACGTACCTAATACGATTCCATATACCATGATGATGTATAAAACACGTCACTAACACTCCAAGCGACTAATGCAACCTCAAAATATAAATGATTTAACTTCCGTATTTAATAGGAGGGTTGTCTGAAAAGTCCTGAACTAAGAATATTATAAAATGCTGATATTTCAGCAGTGTTATCTTTAGAAATTTTCTGATCAGTATTTTTAATTTCAAATTAAAATATCATGTAACAAGAAAGTTATAATTGGAAAGCCCCAATACCATACTTCAGGATTTTGAGGAAAATAGAGTTTTCACTCGGGCCGTTGCTATGGAAACGGGTGTTATAAATAACGACCATTTTTAACAAGCTGTCACAATACTCATATTCACATTATCACTTGTAACAAGACAACAAATTTGAAGGACGGTCACAGCTTTGAAAATATTGTCTTAACATTAATTGTGACGTTTTTAGGAGAAAAGAATGTGCCCCGGGTACTCTGTACCATTCAAGTTCGGACATGCATAACGTTTTTGTTACAATACATTGCATTTTTAAATTTTGTACATCGAATATTCCAAAAGATAAAACTGATGAAATTTCAGCCTTTATTTATAAAAACTCTTGGTCTTATAATAATTAGTTCAGGACTTATTGGACAACCCTCGTACATGTTCTGAACCTACAGAAGAGCATCAATGTGGCTCCTGGTGCTGCTATTGTGTCTACAGGTCGAGTCAAAAATAAATTGGTGCCTTTGTTAACACGAACAATAAAGACCTGAAGCTGACGACTTTTTCACAACGTAACCGTGCACGCAAAGTCCATGAATGAATGATCAACAAAAATGAATATAGCGCGCATATAGAACTCTCTCTTCATCAGATACCCGATCAGCTTCAGTTTTGTGTTAATGTTTGTTAACATATATTTTGGTATGTTATGTTTTCAGCCGATGTTTATAGAATTTGCTAAATGTAGTTTATGACATCATTCAAGGTCAGAACTGCTGGACTCCCATCATACAAATAGTCCACTTATATTAACGATTTGTACTTGTACATGGTGCAATATTACAAATCATATTGAATAATATATAACTTACCAGCTTTTATAACAGAGACTCTGCCTCTGAGTGTGGACAGTAATCCGACACAAGTAAAATACGTAAAGTCCCTGTTATCTTGGACTATTTTAATGCGGAGATTATATTTCCCAATGATTTCATAGATATCAGCGAATACTGGATTTATTTGATCATTGTTGCTGAGTACAACTTCATCCACACTTTCTGATCCACGATACCATCTCACCCTGTGTGCTTCAGGTAAGCTGTCTATCTCACAGTAGAGTGTTATCGTGTCTCCTACATTTGCTACCGTGTCATTTGGTTCACGTATCCAGCTTGGTGGCATCATATTCTCACACGATGCATACAAGGTAAAAATCAAAATGCAAATACATGTTAGTGTTGATTCCATGCTTACAAGTTTATCTATTGCACTCACTTCTCAGTTTTTAACGCAACAAGTGCCCTGGGATCATTTGAATTTTCAAATGCACATATTGTTGATTTAGATTTAATTCAATACATGATTTTCTAAAACGATTCCATACAGGACAGGCAATGTAGGAGTTCGTATTGGTATTTACTTCCGTGTGTATACAATATGAGATCAGTGTAGTTTTGAATTGTACAATTTACATAATTACAGGGTGACCGACAATTACGATTTTACTGACTTCCGGGTCAAGTACAGCTTCCAGTCCTTCCACGCCATAAGTTGAATATCAACAAAATTCTAGATTTTTAACGTTCACGATAATAATTTCGTTTTAAACTGGTTATTCAGGTGACATTGATGTCATTTTCATGAAAACCTGTAGTTGAGCTAAATATGATCAACGTTCAATTTTGTTTCCCCGCACATTAGTAGAGCAAACTAGGGTAATATAAATGAGCACCCCTGCACTAAGGTGGGATTTTTAGTGAATGCAACATTTGATATTAATCCGTTCATCCCCAAGGGGTCATTTATTAATTTTATGAAAATCAGTTTCAAAATGACAAATACCCATATGACTAGAATGGATTATATTAAGGTTTACAATAACTAATTCAATGTCAAATTATACTTTGGAGAATTAAGAGTTTGAGCATCTTTTTATCTCTTTCTAATGTAGAATTCCATCTAAGGCATGCATAATGTCTAATATGGAGTGATTTCAATGAATAGTTTCTTAGACATAATAGTCCAAATAGGCAGTCCCTAAACCATACATTTTCGCATACAACCATCCCCTCAAGTCTCACCCACATATAAACCGAGGAAAGAAGCAAAGTCACACAACAGGTCATGGAGAATGACACCAATGTATTATTTACGCAATTAAAGTTCGCTCTTCTGTTTTATATGAGAAATGAATTTTGGAATGAAAATTATTAGCTCAATTCTTCAATTTGAAGGTTTACTCCAATATTGTATATCATTATAATGGATTGATTTAATCGTAATCTAATATTTTATGAAATTACCTATTGTGTAACATGTGTTTAGGTATTATTGCTAAGATATACAATATACCTTTCAAAACTTATTGCATTACTTATGCTTGATAAACATTCTAGAAGTACTGCTTTTGAAAATTAAACCATTTCCAAAACTATTGTTACCCTGTAGTATTGGAAGGCACGTAAAAAATAAAAAGCACCCCTTTAATCTTTTCTTAAAGGTTTTTATGATTATTTCGATATCATAAAACAATCTATCCTACCAATATTCATTATATCTGTCAAATTCAAGAAAATCGCGTCTAGATACGTTTGAATGTAATTCAAATTATGTAATTTTTGCCATTGAGCTCCACTATAAAATGGAAAATTCAAACTAAATATTTTTAAATTATATGTGGTAAAAAGTTGCATATTAAGAAGTTAATTTATGTAATGGTGTTAAAAAATACGAAATAAAAAGGAATAAAGAAAATGCCACGGAGAAGTCTGTTACACAAATCTTTAACATTTCGGAAAGGGAATGTTAAACTGATAACACGAAAACGCAAATTTAGAGTTTGAAGGACTTTTTGGTTTTCTGACAACAATAGTATTCGTGTAGGAGCTAGCAAACATTTATAAGACATCTCAAGTACAAAGGATTAGAGGCCTGTAATTATTAGATACAGGGTGTCCAAAAAACAGGTTCGTAAGAAAGTTAAATAACTTGGTCAATTTTGCACATTTTGCTTTGAAATTTCAGAATTATTTAGTTCATTGAAGATGGACGGGGACGTGCTATCGCCATGTACAAGGACCAGGATTTTTTCCCAGGATTGTTCGCAGGATTCATTTGTGCATAGAGAGAAGTGCCCACTTTGAGCATGTTTTGTAAGGTACATTATTTTTGACACAACGTACAGATTATCATCAAATTTTTAGAACACAATTCACATTTAATGAACAAAATAATTTCAAAATTTCAAAGCAAAATATGCAAAATTTTAATGAATTTTTCAAGTTTCTTACGGCCCTAATTTTGGACACCCTGTATGTGACTAACATCCTCAAAAAGACAACTCTTAAGTGATAGACCACAACATATATGCACAAAGTATTTTTGTATTCAATTGTTGACAGACAGACACTAAAAAACGGATATAATTTTTTACAGATTTATTGTAACAAAATTATTTCATACAACTACTTTTTACAATTACATGGCTTTTTACAATGCAGGACACCTAAAACTATTTATTAAGGTACCAAAACGTTCGAAAGTGAATTTTGCGAGACAAAAATGGCGACCATTTGGAAATTAGGTGAGCTTATAAACCAGGAGTTGTAGGAGGTTGTAGGAACTCTATCAACAAAGTTTTGAAAACAAATGGTCCAAAAGTAGATTTCGCGAGACATATGGACAAATCAATGTTAACTAAAATGGCTGAAATTAAAAAAACAGATATAATCTTTTGGCGATTTTTTGTAACAAAGTTATTTCATACTCTTTACAGTGACATGGCTTTTTACAATGCAGAACAGATGAAATCATTTATGAAGTTACCAAATGGTCCAAAAGTGAATTTTGCGACACGATAATGGTGACCATTTTGAAAATAGGCGAGCTTTTGAACCAAGAGTCCTGTATTGATGTTGAACAGAATAACTTAAAACGGGAATCCTATCAACAGAGCTTTTAAAATAAATGGTCCAAAGTGGATTTCGCGAGATAGATTGATAAATCAATGTTAACTAAAATAAAAAACAATATCTAATTTTGCCGATGTTTTGTAACAAAATTAACGCATGGAACTACAGTGACATGGGTTTTTACAATGCAGGACACCTGAAATTATTTATAAAGCTAGCAAATTGTCCAAAATTGAATTTCGCGAAAATTTTGAAAATAGGCGAGCTTTTGAACCAGAAGTCATCTTGGAGTTTTCTGTATTGATATTGAACAAAGATAACTTAAAATGGACTGACGGACGGACGGACAGACAGACGGACAAGTAAAGTAAAAATAAAATCTAACTAAACAGACATCGTGTTCATACACAAATTATGCCGAGGTGTTCAAGTGGAAATACAAATACGGCTATTTCGTGATTTTCCTTTAAAAAATAAACGAGTTACTTCAGTTTTCGTAATATAATAATCAACATATGATGTACAATGTACATCAATTTATTGTTTTTGATAAAAACAATAAACTCCAGGACTTGGGCGTATATTCACATAACAACTTATATTGAAAATCTGAAAAATACAAAAACCAACTTTGAAATCGTATTTGAGGTAAAGTTTAATGAAGATGCTCAAAATAATCTATGTTCTTCTACATTAATACACCTCTATCCCACCCAGTGTTTGTACACATCTTTGCAGCTTTAATATTTCTCGACTTGAAACACGAGCCACATAGTTCCTTCTTTAGGGGACCAAACAATGTATCTGAGGAGAATGGAGAATGGAGAATGTTTTAATATGTATTTAACTTGTTGCGAATAACATTCTTGGCCATAACAGATACCTTACACGGAGCATTGTCCTGGTGAAATATGCATGAATCTAAGACATTGTCTGTTACTAGTCAAACATCCATTTGTAGAATTAAACCTTGCAGTGGCGTTTTGGACATTTAGTCAAAGAAAACTAATAAAGTATTCCTTGCAAGATTTAAAGTTTTCTAGATTTACGAGAATATGCATAACCCAGTTACTGTGAAAATATTCTTTAAAAGTAAATGATAAACGTAAAGCATTGTTATCAGAACTTCTGGATCTACGATTATATTATGTAAACCACTTGATATCAATTATTGTAACGCAGGTTTTGTCTTCTTGTGTGCCAGTTATATTCAATGATCAATTGCCTAAATACGTTCATTAAGTTCATCATCCATTCTTGGGAGATTAACATAGATATGTTCCGGAATGGCATCTAACTTAACATAATCATCGTGGTTTCCTTCAATGATATTGTTCACTGTCTGAACAATTGTTTTGAACGCAGGTCTCTTCTCTGGACGTTCATTCCAACAATTCAACATCAACTCATATCTGAAATAAATTAGTTAATGCATTATCATACCCAAGTCATTGAGAAAGAAATGTATTTACTCTAATTTATCGTACACATTCAATTATGTTTACAGTTCCACTTTTCAAAAATGCAAGGTCAAATAATATTCCGATATAGATAAAGGCAACTTACATTTCTTGATCACATTGTTTAGGTTTTTCCATCCTGTATCCTCGACCTATGTCTTTCATGATCTGACGGGCTCCCATACCAGGGTATGGCGTCGCACCTGTATTTCACGTATACAAAAAAAAGTGTATTATGCTCCATAAAAGAATAACCCTTTTTCGTTAAACACAAATGGCTTTATTTTAATTTCCTTAATAAAAACGAATTGCTGTTAAATATGTTTATGGTGCCATTTTAATTGTAAATTATATACTTACCCAGACTTATGATCTCCCATAACAGAACACCATAACTCCAAACGTCACTCTTGCATGTACTCAAGTTGTACAGAAGGGACTCGATGGCCATCCAACGAATGGGTAATTTACCCTGGAAATACATGATCGATCCTTTAGAGTTTGTTACAATATATGGCATAGTATTACACTGTTTAAACAAAATAAAAGTATGCTATCATATATCCATCGAGATGGCAGGTTGAATTATAACAGATTTGAGTATTTCCTTGAGTTTGTTTAAAATGATCAGCAGAGACTGGAGTGTTTTACTGTATGACATCAAGTTAATTAATCATACCTGTGATCCTCTCTCATAGGTTCCATCCTCTCCAACATCTCTGGCGAAACCAAAGTCAGAAACCTTTGCCCTTAATTCTTTATCAACTAAGATATTCCTAGCTGCCAAATCTCTATGAATGATCTAGAAAACATGAGCGTTGTTCCATATTTAGAATATACAGCTATGATGTTATCACAATTTTACACCATTTTATCCAACTACGCATTGCATATGCCAAATGAAAAATAATTGCTAATGCCATGAAGAAAAGTCTGTCGAATTTTCTGAATGAAGAATATAATTTGTTTTTATTTGCAGTGTAAAAACAGTTTTGTTAACGCATTACCTGGTTTATTGCCATTTCGCCCCTTCCCATTTCGCCCCTTCCTATTTCGCCCCTCATTAATTCCCATTTCGCTCCTTCCCAATTGGCCCCTTACCCATTTCGCCCCTTTCCCATTTTGCCCCTTTGCCATTTCACCCCTTTCCCGTGTTGCCCCCTTCCCATATCGCCCCTTTCCCTTATCGCCCCTTCCCATTTCGCCCCTTCCCATGTCGCCCCTTCTCCATTTCACCCCTTCCCATTTTGCCCCTTCCCATCTCACCCCTTCCCATTTCGCCCCTCATTTATTCCCATTTCGCCCCATCCCAATTGGCCCCTTCCCATTTCGCCCCTTCACTTTTCGTCCCTTCCCAATTGGCCCCTTTCCAATTTCGCCCCTTTGCCATTTTGCCCCTTTGCCTGATTTAAGGTCATTGGGACTCTTGTGAACCTCTGTGACCCATGATTAAGTGAACTAAGGTCAAGGTCATTCCAAGGTCAAGGGTCAGTATCTAGGTATTTTACTTTTTAATACCTAGGGGCAAAATGGGAAGGGGCGAAATGGGAATGAACGAGGGGCGAAATGGGAAAGGGGCCAATTGGGAAGGGGCGAAATGGGAATAAATGAGGGGCGAAATGGGAAGGGGCCAATTGGGAAGGGGCGAAATGGGAAGGGGCGAAGGGGGAATGAGGGGCGAAATGGGAAGGGGGCATAATGGGACGGGGGCGAAATGGAAGAGGGGCGAAATGGAAGAGGGGCGAAATGGGAAAAGGGCAATTTGGGAAAGGGGCAAAATGGGAAGGGGCGAAATGGGTAGGGGCGAAATGGGAAGGGGCCAAATGGGAATAAATGAGGGGCGAAATGGGAAGGGGCAAAGTGGGAAGGGGCGAAATGGGAAGACACCGCATTACCTTGTATGATTCCAAACAAGACATCCCATTTGCTACATCCCTCGCAAATATCAACAGGTGCCTTGATGTTAGTGATTTTGTTCCCGAGTGGAGATTGTCATACACTTTGTTTCCTTCGGCTCTGTTCTTTTTAAGAAAATCTTTCAGGGAACCATTTTCCATGTATTCAACAACAATGTAGTATGGGTCTGAAATTATCATGAATTATTCAAGGTTATGATTTTAGACCACATTGTTGAATTGTGTTATTTGTCGAACCATGGACACATAATAGTCCTAGACATCCATGATCAAAACACTTTTTCTAATTATTGCTACATCATTTTGCTGATTGTAAGAGGCGTTTGGGTACTTACAAAAATTATCTCAAACATAACCTTACCATTTTTGGTGCAGCATGCAACGAGACTAACTACGTTAGGATGACTGAGAAGTTTCATAACCGCCAGTTCTTTTAAAAAGTCACCTTTGTTCTTCTCACTCGGATCTACAGAATGATAAACCATACGTTTTTATTCTATTATAACAGAAAACTATGTTTATCATGTAAAATATCACCAAATCCATAACAAGTATAACATATATGTTCACATGGAATTATACAGAACCAGTATTATGTTTATACTATGGGCAGATTTTAATCACTGTATCAGCCATATATAGCAAATGAATTAGGAAACCTTACAAGTTTCACCGTTCGATTCTCCCGAACATTTAACCCCCCCCCCCCCCCCCCGTCCAGTAATTAGACAGTTCAATTACGTATTGTTTATTTGTGGTTGTCTGGATCTTACCTTTGAGAGTCTTGATGGCTACATCTACAACTTTATCACACAGTGGTATGTTTTTTCCTTGACCTTTCCATACCACACCAAACTCTCCCTTTCCGATTTCTTTTTCAAGTTTCAGCTGACTTGAGGAAATCTCAAAGTTCTCTCTTGGTACACTATCGTATGTCTATCAAGAATAAAAGTTAAATGAATGAGTATGATAATTTGTTTCAAATTAAACAATTTTAGAACTTACTCCACTTTGGTTTCGATTGCCAAATGGTGTCTGTATATGAGCTAATTGTAACTCAAATGAAATGGAATTCTATACAATATTTCTACATATAAAAGAGAGGCCTCGAACCTCCTGTTTAAGGAATCCTATTCCAATCAATTAGAACTAAAAATACATATACCCAGTTACATAATTTAGTTGGTTGAGACTCAATTTACCAATGGTCTTCTGAAATAATGATGATGATGTTCCCGTATTAAGCCAATGGTACATATGTAAGTCGAAATACTCTTGCTGAAATCCTCATGTCAGACGAAAAACATTAGTTTATAAGCCTCAAGCAGTTGAAATAGGTTACTGAGCATATCTAAAATCAATCCCAATGAAACAAGGCGTTTTCACTTTGTTTTCGAAGCTTTTAGTTCCCCGTGTGTTTAAAGTGATTGTTTACCTATGTACTGATTAACTGATTAAAAAGTACAATAGAAATAACTTGTAGAGAACACCTATTTTATATCCACAGGGTTCACTAGCATCTAGAAATTAACAAACCCTTTCCTCGGTTGGATCATCGCATCTCCCGATGGTTTCGTAGGCTAAGTTATCTGAACCATCAGCAAAGCTTCTATTAGCTGTTGGACGGTTTGGTTCAATTTTCTCGAGTTGGTGCTCACGAGTTTCGCCTTTTTCTAAAATATTTAATAAAGTAAACATTAATTTAATATTGTTAATGTGTGATGTCTGATATCTCCCTGTAAAGTGACGTTGAATTACATCGAAATATATATATAGTATTATATAAAATTGTCGACGGACATTTTACAAATATATATATTCAAAATGCTTATAAAACCACATTTATAAAGCTGTAGTTTTCTGGGTACTTGCGCTCTTTGGTAGGCAAAAGTAAGAGAAGCACAACTAAGTAGGTCTGTTGTTAGCTATATGATATGATGACGTAATTTGATTATAGATTACATAATGTATTTTCAGTATTACCTGTTGTTCTATTGAATCGTCTTCTCCACAATAGGAAAGCAATACTTAACACAACCAATGCAGCTAGAAAGAGTCCCCCTAAGACACCTCCGACTATTGTTCCTATATTGGTGGGCTCCGACTCTTTCTCTTAAAATAGCATTTTGAAAGCATTGGCACAGTGGTTAGAACGGATTTAATTCCGAATTTTATTATTCCGAATATTATTTGAAACATTTTAGATTCTAACAATGTGGATTTTTGTTATATTTAAATGACGATTTAATTCATATATTATCTCAATCTACCTATTATAGTAATGTTACTAATGTTACCTATTAAAATAATGTTATGAGTAAATGTTTTAAAACACTTATACTATTAGTACACAGATATAATAAAGTACATGATTAGATTAAAAACAGTTTGAATTAACGTTTTGGCAAAAATTTAAATTCAAAATTGAATAGCGATTTGTCATACGTAAGGGCTGAGAGATTTTCTTGATAAATTAAGCGAAGGCGTCTTATTAATACACATCTGAAAAACAATTGTATACAAAGCGTATAGTTACTTTGTTCTGCAATATGGTGTTGAGACCGATATATGATATCATCTCGCTGATAATAGTGAAAGGACACTGTGTATTTTTTGTTCTCTTCTATTGATATTATTACTTCTTTAGGTGTTTCTCCAAGGTTAGTAACATTTCTTGTAATACAGCTAGTTGCTGCCTCAGCTTCGCAGCAATATATGGTGACACTCGTGCAATTTCTTGGAAAATTGTTAAATGTAACAATTATGTTGTTTCCATCCTTTATAAAAGTAGGATTGATTTCTTTACTGCTTGGTAAGGTCCATGTAGTTCCTATACCGGATGGTTCCGTAAACCCACTAGATCCTTCTTCATTTATTGCATTCATTCTAAACACGTATGATGTGTTACTGTCCAGTGGATGAACCTTAAATGGTAGTGGAGGTGGATCTAA